TCCACAGCGGAAAAGTACGACCCCCCCTGCCCCATGTTTCACACTACAATGCTGTACCCTGCCGGGGATTGGTTTCGGTTGAAAATAATGATACCCGTTCAGATTTCCTCCAGTACCCAACTGATGATGTATCATTCCACGGCGGTGACAATTCGGAGCTCTTCGAAAGAGATGTGGTAAGTGGTTCATTCCCACCGATGGGTTTAATAGCCCTTTAACTGTTATCTATGGTTCATCTACTTCCAGAACACACTCAACCGTTGTTTTGACGACATTGAAAGATTCGTGGCACGAATACAGTCGGCTGCGTTCGCTCAGAGGGAACTCGAACAGCAGGTAGTTAACTGCTTATTATATACCGAGAGCTCCGTGGAGATGAAGTGCCAGCAGTGGTCAGCAAGGCACATCATTGGAATGTGTGTCCCGCACCCCTCTTTTCCCCTCTTTTTCCCCATGCGGAGGGTCTCGATACGGCCGAACACATTCTATTCCTACAGATTTCCCTCCTTACAAAATCCTTCCAAAATCTTTCTGTTAAGCGGGGTGCGGACAGAAAATAACGCTAATTGCATACACAGTGATCACAGAAGTTTCTCTTAACCCTAAATACGACACGCCGCTTTGGGCGACTCCACCCAGCAATAATGTATGCTCCTTGTCCCTGAGATGGAGTGGGCGTGGCATTTGAACATGGCACAGAATGGGTTACTCGTGGGATATTTCAGTTTGAGACAACTGTCATCTTGTTCTGTGTTGGACAGAGACACGACCACAATTGTGTCAAAATAAAAATATCTCTCCAAAAGCACAGCCACCGTCACGTTTAGTTGAAGTGCGCAGCCACGCAACCGTATCTCACAGATTTCGAATGTACTCTGGTGGTTTGTGCCGAACGATTCGCACTGTTTAACAGGGCTAAAAATGTGGAAATTTTTCATGTTCTGCTCACACATTAGTTTCAAGGGAGCTGGGCGGATAAATTGTACCGGAATGTATGGTAGAGGATAAGGGGGGTCGTTCTCAACAGACGAGGGCCGGAGTCCCATGCGGAGATTCCCAATTTTTCGAGCGGGCGTCAGCGAGGGGTCCATTCGTCTATGTTTGCGAACCATAATAATTTAGTAGGTTCTTCAGCTCAAGAAACCCGAGGCCTCACACACTTTCCGTGCAGAGCTTTCATTGAGAGGTTTATCATCGGGCTGACGACTGCCCTGGTGTTCGCTTGACGCCCATGGAATCTAGTGACCAGCCGTTCTAGTCTAACGATCATCCCAAAACTACATGAGGAGCCAGGCCCTCCACTTCTGCAAGAGCGCGGCACTTTGCATTCCCTTGTATTTGCGTGTATCAGCAAACCTTAGGACATTTGTTAAAGACCACATTTGGGACGATTCCGGGCCACCACATGCTCGACCCCTGCGAAGAGGTTTGGGACCCTTCATTGGATTTGGTCATTAATCTCTATAGCAAATAATCGTGATTAGTTCTGATAAACCTGACACAGAGCTGTTAAGTATAGACAAAGGAGCACTTGTGGGCGAGAGCTAATTGGGCAACTGTGACTAAAACAACTAAAACAATACAAATGGCAACTAAAGCAAATGAGTCATCCTTGTCCTTTTCGAGTAGTTTTTGCCACGTGCTGATTGCATTATTGACGTTGTAAGTCCTGACATGTTGGCCTCCATTGCGATTTCAAAAAAAAGAGGTAAGAGAGCTTTTCTTTTGATCAAAACTCCGCCATCGAATTCACGGCTCCACATATAATCGTGTGCACCCGGGGGACTAGACCGGTATAATATTCTTCTCAGTCGCAATTAGTTGGAGATTTTACTGTCTATTCGCTTCAGAAAAGAATTCGTTTGCAGGCTCACCGCTACAGAACTGCAATGCGTCGTGACAAACGAAGTGGTCCACCACCACCGGATCCGAATGGCATCCTTCAGATGCGGGCGCAACTGCCTATAGAACCCGAATTCGTCGATATTTTCAGGAAATTCAAACTCAGTTTCAATCTATTGGTAAGTTCTCAGTGAAAAAGTTGTCGTGACATTCTGTGAACGATGAGTATTTCCAGGCCAAGCTCAAGAATCACATTCACGAACCGAATGCACCCGAACTATTGCATTTCCTCTTCACACCTTTAACTGTTATTCTAGAAGCGTGTCATTGGGGTCTTGGAAGGAATATCGCTCCTCAGGTATTTCCAGCTTAGGTTGATCTTAGGAGAGTTTTTCTACACTTGGATTGCTTTGTAGATTGTTTCGCCCTTATTGTCACTGGAAGCTCGGGAATTGATGCAGAATTGTCTGACTAGCAAGGAGTCGGATGTATGGATGAGCCTTGGCGAGACTTGGAGAACTCCACCGTAAGTGGTATTACTGTGTGAAATCTGGACTGAGACAAGTCATCGAGAACTCTTGGGGATATCCTGCTCCTAGTAGCGGAACTACGCAGGTGCATACCTTGCAGTAGTATGGAGGAACCCTCTGCCACCCTAATCGCCCTTTTCTTCCTTTCCAATAGCCCATAGTGGGGGCTTTCCCTATTCGGCTAGAGGGTCCGGAACTTCCGACGGAGAGAGTCTGTGAGTTATCTCCCAGACAAGTTAGTCGTGGAAGACAATTTCGTTATTATGGGCACAGAGGGATACAGTAGGAAGTGTTGAGATATGTAGCAGATGAATTAGCTAGTTCTGCAACAATTGATTGATTAATGGGTACAAACTACTCACCATCACCTTAGGATTCCTTTCGTACCCCCCCCCTCCTCCCTCATCAAGGAAATTGCAAAAAGGTACAAAGGTTATTCAAATGATTCCAGAGAGGATTGGGTGGGACCGCTTCCACCGCCATACAAACCGGTGTTCGTCGATGGATTTGCCCCGTACGGTATGCCTGACCAGCAGCAGCGACAGCCACCGCAGTCACTCGGCTATCCAGTGCCGCTTCATCGTGGCGAGTCCGCGCCACCCGTACAGTACCGTCCATCTCCACGGGACCGAAGTGTCGACACGGTACGTTCCCATATCGCTTGCTTGAGCTTGACCCTGTGCTGTCTTGAAGTCTTCAACTTTCCCATAACCCCATTTCATTTCTTTTCCTATTTCCTTGCTAACTCTTCAAGTCTTTTTGTGATGTACATTCTATAGCGTTCATATTCAGTGGAAATTCATTGACTTTACAAGCGTTGAAAGCCACAACAGTGCATCAGATGGAACCCAAAATCCCAGTACTGTGGAAAAGCACTGTGGTACTGGGGCAGTGGAAGCGCACGTTCGGTGCCCGTGCCAGATGTCTACAAATAGTACTGCTCTATCCTCGTATCAGGTGTCCATAGTATGCTGTACCCAGCTACTTGAAGATGAACTGTACATGCACCGTCGGGCATGGTCTTTGCATGTGCAAAGAACTGGTTGGCAGCTGTATGTACAAGTGTAGCAGTTTGACTTGAGCCTTTCACTTGAGAGCGCGCATAAATAAGGCTGGCAATAGGGTGGTGATATCGCGGTCGTTCGGTTCCGCCAGGCGGCTATCTGCTCACCCCTGGGCAAGAACTTGCGTGCAGCTTCGGAATACTGCAGCGAAAACCACAGTTAGACGGTGAAGAACAACTAGACAGTGAGAGCGCCCAGAATGAGGAAGCAGGTTTAGCTCTGGCATGGAGATGTGAAGCCTGACCGTGGCAAATAGGCACGGTCGGGCGTTCCAGACAAGATTCCACTCACTGGCCCGGCACAGTCCGGTCCCCATATTCCTTGCGGGGGCAGAAAGAAACTGGCACCTGTTGCCTACATGCAGACCCATTCACCTCGCACAAGAGGCGAAGTACCATAGTCACGGGAGGTGGAAATACAGGTTTGTCTGAGGGTTCTTTGGTGCTGCTTCAAATACCTTGGGGTCTTACAGCAGTGCCGGAACAACTCCTTTAGTAATAATGAGACTTGCAAAGATTCTGCGGGTCCCGGGTTTTCAGACGTACTAACCGCCAGGAGTGATCTCGCGATACACTCGAAATTTTCGTCAAACCGGAGCCGGAGCTTTAGTTGTTTTATTCTTTCTAAGCCTTCAAACGAACCCTTTTATCTTTATTTTCCGACTATCGCTCTATCTCTGACTGTTCAAGTCTTTGACCTCTAATCTGACCTTCGAATACCCTATTTTCTGATGCATAAGGCGGGCCACCTCGGCCATGCCCGGTCGCCGAAGAACTGCTCTGCGAATGAATTTTTTCTCGCGTAACTTGCGTGTTTTTACATGATTTGATCAGTAAGCGGCGCTGTTTTTATCGGGGGGTGGGGGGGGGCATTTTGTACTATCACTGCTTCCCTTGTTCCGGTTTGCAAATCTCACTTTAGTAAAACTTGTGAACTCTTGTAAAGCTGGAGCAGGATCGTCTAGCCACCATCCCAAAACGTGTCAACTCAAGAAAACGCTACCCCTATGTGGGCTCGACACCTTATGGAAAGCAAAATGCCCCCCGACCCCCGTCAATAAACTGCGGAGCCTTCAGTATAGTGGGTTTGAAAAGAGATTAGAAAGTGGGCAAAAGACGGAAAAAAGGGCTGTTATGGCTCAGGCACGCTTCTCAGCAAGCGGTTAACGGTGAGCGTGCAGTCCGTGCGTCTTGGCGACCTTAGTGGGATACATGTGGGGCCTTATACTACCGGAAAAATAAGGTATCGTGGCTTCTTTCGAAGTGTGCTCACTGTTGCACACCAAGATTGCAGCCGTTCTAGCTGAGCTTCTTCTATTTTCTCTTGCCATAGCCATCGTTTTCTGTATCTGAGTGAATGCTGAAAATATCATAGGCTCCCGGCATCAACGCACCCATGAATCAGCAGGAAGACGAAATCGCGGTCCTCAAGCGGAAATGAGCGTCTCGACATGTTGAGTGTGCCATCGCAATGTTTCCCTGTATCTCACTTTCCCTTTGTTTCCGTTCGTCATTTGATGGACCTATGGCCTTAAGAGAATCCATACGTATGGGATTTTAAGCAGGCAGTTTCGCAACGCTATGATCTCGATCGGCTCTCACTAGAGCGAGAACGACTCGACTTTGAGAGGCAGAAGATGCTAGAAAGAGAGCGACGGCTAATCGACGAAGAAAAAATGATCAAGTAGCGGTTTAGCAGTTTCATTCCTGAGGCGGAGATTCCCAGGTGATCGTGATGTTAGGACGCTCGGACCCTTGTACTTTCCTCTCACCTGGCGCGTTTTACTCTTTGACATGGTCATGCAAACGTAGGAGTCCTATCATTGTGAAAAAAAAGTACTGCGCCGGCAATGTGAACCCATTCATACCATCAGTGTGAAAGTACAGTAAAATGTTTTCTCATCGAATGTTTCCTAGTTGTTTGAATGAAGAGAGGCGGGCAGTTTTCTATGTTTCGAATAGCTGGAAAAGTTATGAAGAGGAACAGCCACTGAAGAGGTCTGCATTGGACGCTGTAGTCCTAGAACACCTTGAGAAGTGAGGCTCGGACTGACTTTTCGGAAAGATCCCCACAAAATGACATTTCTCACCATTTTCGACGGCTCCCAATGACACATTGAAACCCCGCAGGTTGGGTTAGCTATTCCCTTGACACTTCCTCACTCTTCACCGAGGAGGATAGGGAGAGGGGTCAAAGTCGAGCCAACCAATAAATTGTTGCTGGGCATCCGAGGGACAAAGTTCTTGCAGGGCGGTTCTGTATTTGAAGGAGCATCTTAGCAGCTACTGGCCTTCCCAATTCATAACCTTGCTTGGGGCTAAGTCTTCACGCTCGCTCTCTTCATGAAGGTTCAGGTACTTGGGCGCGATACATGCGATGGTGCAATCTTCATCCTTCACAAGATTGATTAGAAGATGTCTCATCATATCCCATAGAATATGTTTCAGGGCTGAGAGGGCTCGCCTGGAAGCGGAACGAAAAATGATGAAGCACGAGTCTGAGTCTATGAACAGCGGTCGCTCCAAATCCATCTATGAACCGTAAGTCCAAAATTTCAATTTTAAGCGATGAATTTGAAGGACCTTCCCTTTTGTATTCGCTAACAATAAGAAGAGTAAGTTACCCTGAAGGGTGCAGCTTCATCGAGAGCGACAAACAAGCATTACAATGGCAGAAAAAAAAACGGCTAAATTTTGGCTCGTCTTGTGATCGAGCGTGCAAATGCTGATTAGATCACTGTGGAAAGTGCGGGAAGGCTCTGACATTATGGCTTCCAACGGGCATGTTTTCGACCGCCTCCCGCAATATTTAGTATCCAGCTTCTCCTTCGACATAAATGCCATAGCTAGACCTAGTTCCGAACGAAGACCCAACCAAATGAGTCGCTGCCAGTACAATAAGACCCTCGGTGGCAGAACAGAAAGTCTCGCAATAACCTCCTGCCGCTAGTGCACGTCCCCTCTGTATTTTTTTTTTTGTAAAACACTCGGGAAATTCCTTAAAAACCCAGAGATAAAACACGCTGCGGAGTTCTTTGCCGTGTAGTCGCTTTCTTAGTTTCTGCGAGATTTGAATGATAAAGAAAGCAGGTGGAGTTAGACGACAAGGCTAGTAAATGAGTGAGCGGAAAATTCATAGAGATAATGACAGTTGCTGATGAAAAAGAAACGCTTTTAATTTCAGTCCGCCATCATCTCAAGCATCCCCAATGCCGGCACGCGGTAACGTCCGTCCAGTGTTGCTTCCCGATTTGGGCGATCAATCACCTCGACAAAGGTAAAAAAAAGATCCAGTCCAAAGCATCGAGATTAATGTCGATTATGCGGATCCATAAGCAAAAAACTCCGGGCAGAGGAAGCGGCTGAATTAGAATACATGCTTGCAATCTTTGAGAGATAAAGTACCTAGAGTCTGCAAGGGATGTGGATAGAATCAGTTGGGCGCAGGGACACTTCTCTAACATTACGTTTTTCAGTTTGCAATTCGTGGCAGAATGCGATTGGAGAGGCAGCAAGCTGGTTGTAGCCACATTTGACCGGGTTGCTCAGAATGCCAAGGAACTGACCGTGAGCCGCGGTGAATATCTCGAGGTCAGTTTCGTTCGTTCTGCCCTGTGGTGCTCTTGGCGCGAAATTGCTCTCGAAGCAGGGCCCTACATACGTTGGGAACGAAGGGGCACGTCGTGCGCGTTGGGGAATCCCCATCGGAGAGGGAGGGGTCGTATGTGGTCTGAGAAAACTTTTTTGATATTTGATTTTTCTTGTTTCACGGAAGCTGTAAGGGGGAGGGTGCGGCGTATTTGCTCGTTGTTGAGAGAGGGTCTTTTTTTCTCTTCGAGAAAAATTTACAGCGTTTGAAAAAAAGTTTCTGATGGCTGAAACTTGTTGTTGGTTGCTGCCACCTGCCTCCCGCCTTCGCGCGCTCAAGTCTTGAGCAAAAAATTTTGGGGAAACAAATAGCTAGGTAAAAGCTTCCGGGAAAACAACTGGATAAGAGTAAGGCTGGAAAGTTCAGAAGGTGGTAAGTAGCAGCAGTAATAAGAGGGGGGGGAGATCATATGGAGGGAATTAGGAGAATTCATACTTTCCAAAAATTTTCGGCGAGCGCAGGGAGGGGTTCTGGAGCACACCACTGCCCGCTGCATGCACGGACGGGGGCTAGGAACGTGCAACTTTGAGGGTCGACTGGAAGGCGGGGAAGAAAGAAGATAGGCTCTAATAATGCAGAGCCAAGTGTCCAGGAACTATAGGCCCATCGCAGATCATCTGTAACGGCAGTCTTGGAAGGCTGAAGGAAGGGCATAGCCGGAGCAATTCCTGTCTTAAAGAGGAAATCGCGACTGATGGAGCATTTCCTTGCTCACTTGGCGCACCCATTCCGAGCTTAGGGTTCCGGTATTCTTCAGGTCGGCCCGTGATGCCATTTGTTGGGATCTGGCCTGGATTTGTGGATCCCTGTACTCCTTTGTGAGGCGGAGGTGATGTAGTAGCTAGTGGCTCTCTTACGCGCGCGCTGTCCTGGGGTCAGATGGCCTTCGAAGCGCCATTGCGATTCGAAATGGAAGCAGATTGCGTACCGCAGTGAAAAAGATGAAAAAGATGGAAAAGGTTCGAGGGCAGAAGCTTCATCTCATGCTCTTATTTTCCTAATGGAATTGATTGCAGGTTCTTGAAGACACAAAGAACTGGTGGGAATGTCGAAATGTGCATCAACGGGTCGGCTACGTACCACATACTATTCTGTCAATGGTGCCTTTGGAGCCCGCTGACAGTCGCGATGTCTACGTGAGTTCTGTTTAGGACTCCCAGCTATACATACCGATAGCGCTATCAAAGTATTTCAGAGTAGCCGTGACAATGCTTCGTTGCCGAATGGTCATGCTGGCAGTCCGAAGCCAGGTATGCTGCCTGATGACGCGCCTTCATACGTGAAAGAGCGTCAGGGTCGGCGCGGCGAGTTCCGATATTTCTGAATTGGACCCTAGCATTATGATTTCATTCTAAAAAAACATTAGATCTAATTGTTGCAGCTAGCCCAGACTGTTCGTATTCACTTCGTATTTTTGCCGTTTAATTAACTGATTTGCCTGGCTTTCGCTAATCTCGATCGTATCGCAACGCGCTGCGATTATCGCTGGCATTTCGCGCCTTCGCATGCTCAAATGCTTGTGTTTTGTTGGTGGCTTCATTTCGCCATTTGTTGAAAGAGTACTGAAGGCAGGCCGCTGTTCTGGAAGGGTACGAGCCCTGGCTGCCTTTCATCGCCTGCATGTTGAACTCTTCACCTAACACACGCATCGTCAGTACTAATCATACATGTTGTGGTCACACTAGACATTCCGCCTCCCAATTTCACTCTCACTCACTTCACTAACCCCGCCCCCTTCACTAACAACACCCCTAGCATTCTTATCTGTGTTGTTCCGCGATGATCAACGTCACCAGCACATGTTCGTCGTCGTCCTTCTGCACTCAGGACTGAAGCATAGCATGACAGTCTGCCAGTAAAGCCATCTCCCTCACTCCCAGCATTACTCGTGCACCACAGAATGAATTCTCCTCGTGCAGATGATTATTCTCGTGATACTTTATATATATAGCTGCTATAGATGAACAATATATCTAATTGATTCTGAGCTTTTTTTGTGTCGTCACCGTCTTCTTCGTAGATGCTCTTGGATAAGAAAAGCATACACACGATGATGTCGTATTATTCAGCTCAAGCTATTCTCTTGACATAGTGCCTTTTTCATTCATTCATGTTCCGTATGTAAAATGAATGAAATTTTTTTGTAATTTATTCTGTTGTTCAATACACAGTCATGTAGAGATAGTACTGACGATGTGCAGCAAATGAAAGCACGAACAAGAAGGGCCCTGGCGTGATGCCGTCACCATCCGCCTCCAGCGCAATGCGACTGCAGCGACATTGAGCAGGTTCCAGAACTGCTTGCCGGCCTTATGGGTGCTGCGTGCGGCACTACTTCTTAGTTACGCGAATTTGCAGAGTATTTCCTAGCTGACTACCTAGAACATTGCAGTCACAGAGAGAGCTGGTCGACGTGAGAGACGCAGACGCGAAGAGAGTCGACGCGCCGTAGCACTGCCACGTTGATTGGGTTGGGTCCTGGTGCGAATTCTGTGTGCGTCACCACGCATGCGATGTCTATCTCGTCGCTTTCACCGCGACTGCTGCGCTTGCGAAGTAACGCTCCACAGGCATGAGTGCTCACTGCAGTCCACACTCAAATATTTCCTAAACCCTCTGGTTAGGCTTCTATGAATCCTTTCCAGCGCAGTGTTTTCTCTCTCAACTGATTTTGGAGGACTATTCATTTCTCGCTAGTTCTTATGAAGCGCTAAGTCGGAGTTTTCGTCCTGTTTAGGGCTTCGGTTTGGGTACCAGAAATGTTTCACCATAGCAATATCGTCTTGGAAGAGCCCTCGGTCGCGACAGAAATCTGACTCTAATATCTACAGATATGAGGAAAAGCCTTCAGGCCATCAGGATGTCCCGATCAATGTAAGAAAAGATGAGAAGCAGCTGGCGCTCATTATCTCTTCTCTGCCAAGCACGTTCAGCATTCTATTCGAGATCGTAGCAGAATTTGAATGCGATTATTGAACAGGTTCCCGGGAAGTGCCCCATGTGCAGGAAAATGCTTTCATCATCGCAGACCAGCGTGCTGCTTACTGACAAAAACCGTAAAGATGGGATGCTTGCTCAAAGGTAGTTCCCGCGATTACTCGTCGTAGGTAATAGGCTACACAAACGAAAACTGGCAGTGAATCCTAGTAGGCTCGCTAAAGCGAGACAGCACAGAAGATCACGCTTCGCTAGGCTCTTTTTTTGGAAATAAATGTGACGCGGGTGCGGACGAGCGATATCAATGGTTAAAGTATGCTGTAATTATGGCAAGACGACAACATGATAAGGAAAAAAGCGCGAAAGGGTATAAAAAATAAAGGGCGAGAGAGTAGAGTGCCAGGAGGCGCTTTATCAGACTATACAGGGGGGGCCAAAAAAAAGTCATTTTGCCTCCATGACTTTCAAGGCGCTATAAGTTACACTTTATTAATTTTTTATCGGACATTTTACTACCGGCGACATATTAAAGAGCACATTAAATACTATAATGATACTCCGCCACAGCCTTCTGGAGGAGCGCCATCGAGAGATTCGGCCGCGCGAAAGTGAGTGGGTACCGGAGTTGAGCGAGATCGTTGATTTCTCCGCCACTGTAGACCACCCTATTGAGCTCCCGCCCAACCGACGTAATTGAACAGGCGCTCTAGTTGGATCGCTTTCAACAATACACTCTTTTCCAGGTACTCAACGTTCTTCCATTCCAAGTAGGCGAAAGTTTTTCCAACGCCCTTCGATTAAATGTGTTGTCACCCAATCCTGTAGCAGTACACCCCCCAAGTTTCACAAGAAGAGCCCACATGAAGATGGGATACTTCTCCTCGAGTTGCGCTCGACTGCTAGCCACCAGCGCATACCTCTGGGGCCCGAACGAAGAAAATATCCGTTCATTCATTCCCAGTCCCGGCCGGTCCACACCATCAAACCCCCCCGCCGCCTTGCGCTCCCGACATGGGGTGCACAGATTATTTAAACTGGACCGTAGCGACGTTGCCCCGGAGCTGCTCGATGTTTCGAGATCTTGCCTCCACCAAAATGATCGAAGAAATCAAGAGTACTGGTCTCCAGGTAGCTATCCATGGGTGATTCCATTCAAGAAGTTCCGCTGTTTGGAGGCCACGTGAATTCCAAAGGCGTTCTCCACTCAGGCCGCGACTGGAGATGACTTCATATTTTGGTGTACATGAAGGTGAATGGCGGCAGCCGGCTCCTGCTTATCTATAGGAGAAGATCTCGGGTATCTTCCGCCCTGGTACTCATATCCACTTCCTCTGTCTGGGCTGCGAAAACTTCGCTCATATGTGACTCGGCCGGAATGACTTTTTTTTGGCCCCCCCCCTGTATGCAACGGCACTGCATGGCCCCCTACCCTGCAGCATCATGGGCTCATTCTGATGCTTCTTCTGCCATGGTTGATTAGTTGGGTCCTGCGGTGCGAATTCTGTCACCACGGTTAACGGGGCACTTGTCAACCAGACGTGCTCTCGCTGCGAGGGTCCAGGGATTTCTCAAAGCATCTACCAGTCCACTAGTTTAAGGGAGAAGGTAAAGTAGGAGGGATCAGAGAAGGGCGGAAGAAAAGGGAAGGAAAGAGGAAGGAAAAAGGGAAGAGGAGGGAAGCATTGTCTATCTCGTCACTTTTTCGCCGCGACTGCTGCGCTTGCGAGTTAACGCTCCACAGGCATGAGTGCTCACTGCAGTCCACACTCTAAATATTTCCTAAACCCTCTGGTTAGGTTTCTATGCCCTTTTCAAATCAGTGTTTTCTCACCACTGTTGAAGGAGCCAAAGGTCTTGGAGGAATTCTCCGGTTCGGGGGTACCGGAAATGTTTCACCATAGCAATATTGTCTTGGAAGAGCCCTCAGTCGCGACAGAAATCTGACTCTAATATCTACAGATATGAGGAAAAGCCTTCAGGCCATCAGGATGTCCCGATCAATGTAAGAAAAGATGAGAAGCAGCTGGCGCTCATTATCTCTCTCTGCCAAGCCGTTCAGCCATTCTATTCGAGAGTAGCAGGAATTTGAATGCGATTATTGAACAGGTTCCCGGGAAGTGCCCCATGTGCAGAAAAATGCTTTCATCATCGCAGACCAGCGTGCTGCTTCCTGACAATAAAACCGTAAAAGGGCTGGCTCAACGGTAGTTCCCGCGATTACTCGTTCGTAGGTAATAGGCTGCACAAACAAAACTGCAGTGTTCTAGTAGCTCGCTAAAGCAGAAGACAGCACGAAGAATCACCTTCGGCTGCTCTCTAAATAATTGTGACCGTGGGACGACGGATAACATTGGTGAAGTATGTGTTGTATTGAAATACGAAGCATGAGGTCAAGGAAAAGCGCGGAAAGGTTGATAAAATAAAGGGCGAGGAGAGAGTGCAGAGGCGGCTTTATCAAGACTATACGGACCACCATGGGCCTATTGCACATCCATGGGCTCATTACTATGCTTGTTGCACGTAGCTTGCCTGTTTCTACGTCTTTAATGTAATGACGTAAAAATTAATGTAGTAAAGCCTCTGCGGTAGCATGTCGGGCAGTCTTTACCATTCGGAAGTCTTTACAGCGGACCATGCTCTTGACTATCAGTAATCGGGGCAGGTTCTAAGGGCATATTCTGCGCTCATAAGTCATGAACAGTGGGATTCGAGCAAGGATTTGCCGCTGCTACTTAACTTAGCACTGGAGAAAAAGAGTGAACCATTGCGAAATGCCCTAACAGAGCCTTCCTCCTTGTTTATACTGGTCAGATTCCAGCATCTGACCGAGAAGGAGTGGCGACAGAAGTTGTGAGGGCAGTAACGTTGAAAAATCATTCGTTTATAGGGCAGAAAAGATATCTGGTAGGATCAGTACTGTTGGGTGGGTTCATTGCGCTCGATGAGAGCCTCATGCTCTCGTTGATTCACTTTTGAGCCGTGCAAATGGTACAACTTTTATAAATGTCTTGTTTTAAATATTCAGGTACTATTAACAAGGGAAGAAATTCTTAACCCATCAGACAGTTCTGAATTATATTAGGTTGTTCGAAAAGTCCTGCGACACTTTGACCAATTTTTCGGACTAAATTTTCAGTCACTAAAAGACATCTCCAATCTACAAGGTAATCACCACTAAGGACTAGGACTAGGCGACTAGTGGCCCTTCTTTTGCACAGCAGCTTCTCATTTCCATTCTTATAGAACTACGGCAACTATGATAAGAAGAAGAGGTGGACCTCATTTTTGAGTAGACGTCGATTTTCGGAATTTTTGCCTTCTTAAGGATGAGGTAGGGATCAAAAAAGGTAGTAGTTAGAGACTGCTAACTTTGATGAATAAGCTGGCGTCATGGTCGCCATTCTCAGTTTATTAAAGAATCTACGATCTTTTGGTGTGGCCTGATCCTAACATGCGGTCTTCGCATTGCCGAGCGGTAGAGAAAAATTGAGTATTTTTGAAGAATTTAAGCGTGACGTCATCCATGTTGTGAGGTTGGTTAGAGTGGACTGTAGTCCTTACCGTTATGCTAGTATCCAGAGATATCACCGCTTGAAGTCCCACGAAGTAACCTACTGATGAATCTTATTCCATGCCACATTCTGCTTTTTGCTGTGGCAATCTTACTTTCCTGTTTGAGATCTCAAGAAAACATGTGGCAAGACTCGTACGCAAGGACCCACCACTCTCTACCAACCACAAGATCTCACAAATGTTCCTCCAGTGTGTACAAGGAAAAAAAAAACTCAGTCACGGTCATTCGGGATGACTTGTCAGAGGGGTTCAACTCATGAGGCATCCTTCATAAAAAATTTTCCGATAACCGAGACTGCGGAGAAGCATGGCAGTTGTCAGTTAGGTGGAGCCTAGAGAGGTTGCCAACTTACTGGTGGTTACGTTCGGCTGCGCCTCAAGAAGCTTGAGTAAAGGGCCGTCATTCTGTGCTGGTGGCCGACCTATACATTGCCTACTTCCGAGTTGAATAAGTCCAGCCTGGAAGCGCTGATGCAAAAGGAACTCTGCTGCTGTGGCAAGCGATATCTTCCTCAAGACAACGTAAGTGTCACTTCCTCGACTAGGGCGGGTGGCCGTACAGGAACTTCATAATTATGCGGACAAGGTCGCAGAACTACCCTCGACCTCTGAGGAACTTTTAAGCTTTAGAAAACTTCGCACGGAGCCAGTGAATATACCCATTTTGCAGAAGAACCCGAGAGGACAGTCTCACTAATTCTGAGGTAAAAACATTCCGAGAAATGATTGTTGTGTCTTTTTCCAGAATAATTTAATCAAAGTGTCGACAGGACTTTCGAACAACCTAATACCTTTTTTCTCCTTATCAATATGAGTGATGTGCACAAACTAAACTCGCCGGATCATGAGATGGGGTAGGCTTGACTCCGTATTTCAATTAAACAGGACAGTGGATGTGCTTCTGGTGAGATATTTTCATTTTTGAACAGTTTTGGTCGTGTCTTTGTCCGACACAGAACAAGATGACAATTGTCTCGAACTGAAACACCGTCCCATGCCACATTCAAATGCCACGCTTAATCTGTCTCAGGGATAAGGAGGATACTTAAAGGCAGTTGGCACGATAAATCCCCAAGACGACTAGGATCAATACTCCTGGCAGGATAGAATTCCGCGACCCTGGGCAGGCGCTGCATAGCGGTTTCCCCGAGGAAGGTGCCCTTATAAGGGCCCTATCAAGCCACAACATTACGTCCCAAACGCCCGCCACGACCGTTCCTGACGCTCGTATTCATTCATTTGCTAAGCAAATTATGAAGCGAAGGGATTGGTATGAAGCGGCCGTGATGCTGCATGCATATATGGGTACACATATGCAGCCGTATCTTCGGTAGCGGTGATTGGCAAGATGCCTACGGGAAACTCCCGTTTCACTCCGTTCTTTCGCCATTTCCCCACTATATAGCGCCCTACTAGCATTTTAGGCCGAGTAGGAAACCATCGTGCCAACTGCCTCTAAATTGTAACGCGGAATGTGATCTCTAATGTCATTCTCTACTTCTCGAATATAGGTGATTGAGTTCGAGCTTCTTTTTCTCTTATTTACAGATCTACCTTCAGAAAGCGGAAATCCATCCAACGCTCAGCTGCCAAACACGTCTTCACCTGCCATTGGGGTAAGCAAGAAACATTGTTAACCACTATTATTTACAGCTTTTTTTCAAGAACATCCATCAAAAATGTTAATAGATGGCTAATGAAACACGTAGGTCTTTCTGAAGTATAGACCGTTTCAGATGGCACACTTAATTAGCAAATAATGGGAAAACATATGTAGCATTAGACATCACCTATCTGATTAAAAGCAGAATCCGCGCTACTCGCATAGGCGGTGTCAGCCAACGTATCTTCCTCATTGGCGCTCTTCTCCTCTTGACCGTGGAACGAAGCGGAACTTTGCAGAGAGAGGAACGCATGACCTAACAATAAGTACTTACAATAATACAATGACTGACTGTCGCCAAATTGATAGCTCGTTTTTATAGTTTTGTTGCTTAACCACCTTCAATAGTTCACCTGAAGGCCGTCGACTGGAGGTGACTAGATGTTTTTTCTTTCCAGCTACAAATTCCCGTCACTCCGGAGCCTCAGATAGTCTCTCCCGATCCTTCGATTGATTTCGCCCATCAATACCATGACATGCGTGTGGAGGACATCGGCGAATACGTGGTAAGGTGTCAAAGCGTCCAAAGTGATTAGAAGTCAAGAATTCCCTGTAAATTTCAGCCTCCGACAGCTATGCATCCAAAACCGCATATCGCTCTTGCAAGGAGGAGCAAAGGTTCGTCTCTCATCAGATCTGTGGACCGGGGAGCATGAAACATGCATCTTAAATTAGTGGATGCGGTAAAAAGGTTCCCTGGAGAAAAAGGATGTGGTGGGGCTGGATAGTGCGATGAAACGGCAAAATATGGTCGAGCTGAGCTAAGGCTCTTACTAACCGCTCCTGGGAGGTGAACGAGCACGCCTAACAAGGGAGGTCGTTCAGGTCATGGTGAGCTTCTTGGAAACGCTTTGTTGCATGATTTAGGGGTCCATGCATGGACCATGCTCACCATGACCTGAACGACCTCCCTTGTAAGATACAGCCTGATTTGCACTTAGCGGGGCAACAACCCCTCTTCTTCTCTCTGCAAAAGAGACTGTATCGTGTAGTTCGTATCAGTAGTTTTCCACAAGTTGTCGTCACTCATCTGCTACAGCGACTAGTAGAGATGGGGTTGGCGGCGCGCCAATGCAGCTCCGCAGCAAATAAGACTGAGATCATCTTAAAGGCAGTTGGCACGATAATTTGGTACTCGGCCTAAAATGCTAGCAGGGCGCTATATAGTGGGAAAATGGCGAAAACGAAGTGAAACGGTCAAAAACCTGCGAAGAAAAGTCCTTCGTTCTTCGTGACTCTGTTATGGACGAGTTTCCCGTGGGCATCTCGCCCACAAACCTCGGTGGGTACGGCTG